GCCATACACAGTTAACAATAGGAACAATTTCCAGGAATTTCTCTGGGCCCCTTTTTTCTTCCTCTATCATTTTTTTTTTGCAGTTTCATTGACTTCCACCTCATCAATGACCTTGCATGTATATATAACTCCTAAATCTTTATCCATAGCTTAGAGTTCTCTTTTGTCTCCAGAATTATGTACCCACTTTTATGTCTGGTAGGATAGCTTACTGCCATCTCAAACCTAGTATGTCTAAAACTATAATAATTACCTACTACTCTCAGTTACAGTAACACCATCTCTCCACTGCACCCACCACACACACATACACCATACACATTTTTATTTTCTGACACTGTTTCTCAATAAATTCCAAATTCTCACATATACCCAAATTAGAAATATAACCATGTTTATTGGTTTCCCAAGAGGGATAAACAGAGATTGTGGCTTATACTAAATATTTAATAAATATCTGTTAATTAAGTGCCTAAATCCCAACTCTGTCTCAATTGCCACATCTTTCCATTTGGAGTCAACCAGGTCCTGTTTATTTTGTCTTCTTAATTCCTTTCAAAAACTTTAATTTTTCCTCATATTCATTGCTTTGACTCTTGTCCAAATGACCATCATCTGCTGCCTGAACTATTTCAGTGCCCTGTGGGTCCTGCACACACTCTTGCCACCCCTTCAATACAGCCCATGGCTGCAAAAATTCTTATGAGGTTTCACTATATTTTCATTTTTGTTTTATTTTCCAGTTACAGTTGACATTCTCTATTAGTTTTAGGTGTATAGCATAGTACCTAGTGTGGAGAGCCAAGCAGGATAATGTGTGCCAAGGGAGTTGGAATGCAGGCCTCGGGTTCAGCACAGCTGCCCTAGGCCAGCCAAGATTGATTACTGCAAGAAAAGAATGGCTTGGCTGCTTGCCACATCACTGTACCAAGGAAGAGCAGGCAATGTCCTTAGAAAAATAAAATGTACCTAGTGTTTTGTCTTTCTCATGCTCTGCTTCAAAGCTTTCTTAATGTATACAGCCTGACTTTACTAATGAACGGTTCCCTCCTCTGCATCCCAGAGAAGAGACTCCCCCTGACCCTGCTTTGACTTTGCCTCTTTATTTCTTAATTCCCTGTGGCCTTCCCTCGGGACCTGACTGACTCAGCCACTCCAGTCACTGCACCTAGACATTTATATAACTTATGAAGTGATCCCCCTGATGAGTCTAGTACTCATCTGACACCATACATAGTTATTACAATATTACTTCCTGTAACTGAAACAAATAATAGATACAAAGGACAAGTTGATGGTTGCTACCTGGGAGGGGAGTTAATGGGCTAGGTAAAAATGGTGAAGGGATTAAGTACAAATTGGCAGTTATTTAAAATGATGCAACAAGACCTGGCTGGTGTGGCTAGGTGGATTGAGTGCCAGCCTGTGAACCAAAGAGTCACTGATTCATTTTCTGGTCAGAACACATGCCTGGGTTGCAGGCCAGGTCCCCAGTACAGGGTGTGCTAAATGAAACCACACATTGATGTTTCTCTTCCTCTCTTTCTCCCTCACTTCCCCTCTGTCTAAAAATAAATAAATAAATAAAATATATCTTTAAATGATACAGCAATCTTAAAGGAAACACTGAAGGGTCAGAGATGAATAGGCAGAGCACAGGAGATCTTTAGGAAACTCTAAATACACTGTGTAACATTATAACACTGATTTATGCCATTACACATTTGCCCAAACCCATAGAATGTACAACACCAATGGTGAATTCTAATGTAAACTTTGCACTTTGGAATATTGTGATGTGTCCACGAATGTTCATTTTGTATGTGTGTGTGTGTGTGTGTGTGTGTGCATACACTGTTTTGGTGAGCCATGAAGGCAGAGACTATGCATGTGTGCAAGTAGAGAAAACCAGAGAAATCTCTATCTTCTCAATTTTGTAAATCTAAAACTGTTCTAAAAATATAAAGTCCTTAATTAATGAAAAGAGAAGTCAAGAAACCTTTAGAGATAATGAATACATTTATACCTTGTTTTTGGTGATATTGTCATTAATGTTGCATATTTTCAAACTAATTAAATATATAAATTAAAGATATACAATCATATATATAATGCATTATTCCTCAATAAAGCTGTAAAAATATGATGCTAAAGTAAAAAAATAAAATACTCATTCAATTGTAGATGTGTTCTGGTAGTTGTCTTTGAAAGACATGCCTGCACATTGGAGACTCATGCAGCCTTTATGAGACCATGTCCTGCTGAGAACAATTAGAAAAGTCATTTTTTAAAATAACCGTGTGTGCAGTCCCTTTGCACACACAGTGCAATGTTACAATGCTGGTTCGATGGGGGTGTATTCTTTCAGCCTTCTTTTGTCTGGGAAACCCCTTATTTTGACTTCCATGTTAAATGAGAGTCTTGCTGGGTAGGGCAGTCTTGGTTGTAGGTCCTTGCTTTTCATTACTTGGAATACTTCTTGCCATCCCCTTCTGGCTCGTAGTGTTTCTGTTGAGAAGGCAGCTGCTAGCCTTATTAGTGCTCCTTTGTATGTTACTTTCTGTTTCTCCCTTGCTATCTTTAAGATTCTCTCTTTGTCTTTGAATTTTGCCATTTTAATTATGATGTGTCTCGGAGTGGGCCTCTTCGGGTTCATCTTGATTGGGACCCTCTGTACTTCATGGGCTTGTGTGACTTTTTGTCTCATCAAATTAGGGAAGTTTTCCATTGTTATTTTTTCAAACAGATTTTCTAGCCCTTTCTCCTTTTCTTCTCCTTTTGGTGTCCCTATTATACAGATATTATTACTTTTCATGCTGTCCTGCAGTTCCCTTAGCCCCTCGTCATTATTTTTGTGTCAAAGTGTGGGAATAACTTATTGTGGCAATTGTGGTCAAATCGTTTTCTAGAAATTATTGTACATGTTTCACTTCCATCATTAAAGTACAAATGTTCCTGTATTATTATTTCCTTATTTGTATAGCATATTGTCATAGAAAGACCTCTGCTATTTTGAAAGGTTAATAACACAGTTATATGGTTTTACTTTCTATTATTGAATACTTGGGTGAGGTAGTATTGTAATACACGTTATATTGTGAAACATATTATAATACCATTTTAATTGTATTTTCCCTATTTGTTGTAAACTTTGTTATAGTTCTTATTGATTTACAGTGCTACTAGTATTGGTTAGTATTACTACATTAATTTTTCTATATCTAAGATATCAATTCTTTCTATGGCATAATAAATGCTTTTGGAAGTTTAAGTTTTATTATTTTTCTACTATAGAGAAAAATTTTTAATTTTGTCCTCACATCCACTTGTCTATATATTTGTGATATGTTTTCTGTTGCTGCTACATTTGGAGAGTCATCCTCAATTAGAAATTTAAATGTTTAGCCCTGGCTGGTGTAGCTCAGTGGCTTGAGCATGGGCTGTAAACCAAAGGATTGCCCGTTGCAGTCCCAATCACAGCACATACCTGGATTCTGGGTCAGGTCCCCAGTGGAGGCCACTTGAGAGGCAACCATACATTTATGTTTCTTTCCCACTGTTTCTCCCTCCCTTCCCCTCTCTCTAAAAATAAATAAAAGAAAATCTTTAAAAAATAAATATAAATGTTTATATTGTTTTCTCTATTTTTTGGTAGTAATTTACATGAAATTAGTGTGTGTTTTTAAAAGACTCACCAAAATACTAACTAATAGCTGGACAATTTTCCTTTCTAGTTCAATTTTTACATGGCTCTCACCACTTACTTATTTTACAAATATATTAGAAAAATTCCTCTTACTATCTGTAAAGATTCATCGAAAGGTGAATGCTTCTTGAAACTGGTGCATGACATTTCTTTCACCTGAAGTTCTCCTCTCCCTTTTAACTCTGCATGAAATTCAGACTACATATAGAAGAGAGTTTGCTGGAATTGAGTTTTTGAAAGTTTGTACATTTCAAGCATAATCATGTAGTTTCAAATCACACTCAGCAAACACTATAAACAGAACTTTCTGGTGGTTTCCTAACTTGTTGCTCTGTGGGAATAGCAGGAGCATCAAAGTCTCTCAAAAAACAGGGCTGGCATCCTGGCTTCCCAGTGGGGACTCCAGATCTCAAGATGCCTCTTCATTGTTATCCTTAAGGGACCTGCCACACTTTCCTACCTTCTGGTCGAGAGATTTGCAAGAGCTTATAAACTAGCTACCCTAAACAAAACCTAAAAATGAAAAAGAAGGTGCCAGCAGGCAGGAGAAACTACAGGTAAGACCCCTTTGTGAATGTTCAGGGAAAAGACGAAGGGTTGATGACTACTATTAGAAAATGCTTTAAGTAATGCATTTAGAGCAGTGTCTGAACATAGAAAGCGATCAATAAGTGTGACAGTCCTCACCTGGATTCTAATCACACTTCTCTTCCAGTCACTCTGCCCTTTGCTTACAGTTATATATTGATATTGCATAAATATGATACATAGCATCAGATGATATCAACTTATTAGAATAAAACAGATTGTAAATAGCCATAAACTAGAGGAAATTTGACCTGAGTATATAATGTAATGAACAGGAAATAGAAAAAGAAATGGTGATGATTTAAGAACAAGGGGAACAAGTGATAATGTTGTAATAAAAGGGAAAAAATTAAAGAACACTGGATTAAAAATAAATACTGGCCATTACTTTTGAAGTTGGGAGTTAATGTTAAGTCTTTGTGAGAATAGGATTGGTAGTGGGATTTGGATGAAAGGCAGATTCCAGGGTTCTAAGAATTAAATGGGAGTGGTACAATAGAAATAGGAAGATTAAAGTGTTGAGTTATCAGGGAATATAGGTTGTATGAAAGTGATCTCTGCAGACATAAGCTAAAGGTGAGTAACCACTGTGTGCTTGATTTTTTAAATTCAATAATTCTGAAACTTTATTTGGATAGCTTAGGTCAAATGGGACACAAAGATTCTTTCTGATATTTGGGTTTCTCTCCAAGCAAAAACCCTGAACATGGAGCTACATTCCTCAGTCACGTCTGAGGGAACCAACACCACCAAATATCCCTTCTACTTCATCCTCACTGGCATCCCTGGATATGAGGACTACCACATCTGGATCTCCACCCCCTTCAGTTGTCTCTACACCACCTCCATCATAGGCAACATCACAATTCTCACTGTCATCAGCAAACAGCCATCCCTCCACCAACCCATGTACCTGTTTCTCTCTATGCTGGCTCTGACTGACCTCGGTCTAACCTTCACCACCTTGCCCACACTCATGCCTCTTCTCTGGCTCAATGTTCATAAGATCAGCTTTGAAGCCTGTTTTGCCCAGTTTTTCTTTCTCCATGGATTCTCTTTTATGGAATCTTCCGTGCTGTTGGCCATGTCCTTTGACCGCTATGTCGCCATCTGCCGCCCCCTCCATTATGCCACCATCCTCACCAATGAAGTCATTGGCAGGATTGGGATAGCTATCATTTGCCGCTCTGTACTGGCTGTTCTTCCCTCCCTTTTCCTGCTCAAGCGCCTGCCCTTCTGCCACTCTCACCTTCTCTCTCACTCCTATTGCCTCCACCAGGATATGATTCGCTTGATCTGTGGTGACATCCGGTTCAACAGCTGGTATGGATTTGTTCTGGTTTTGCTTATCATTGTGTTGGACCCTCTCCTCATTGTGCTGTCCTACTCACTCATCCTGAAAAGTATCCTGAGCACAGCCTCCTGGACCGAGAGGCTCCGGGCCCTCAACAACTGCCTCTCTCACATTCTGGCTGTTCTGGTTCTCTATGTTCCCATGGTAGGCTTATCTATGACCCATCGCTTTGCCAGGAATGCCTCTCCACTAGTCCATGTTACCATGGCCAATATCTACCTGTTGGCACCTCCTGTGATGAACCCCATCATTTATAGTGTCAAGACTAAGCAGATCCGCCAGGGAATTGTTCGCCTTTTTTCCCAAAGAAACACTCATTAAAGATAAAAGAATGGTTTTGTTAAACTACTCAGAAGTTAGAGCCATAGTCTTATGGGGAGATGATACTAAATTTGGAAATAGAGACTATAAAAAGTCCGATTATATTTTTTAAGTGGTAAGACATAAGTTTGACTTTTAGCAGATTTTTGGCTTAGAGAAGCTAACAGTAAGTATTCTCTCCAAAAGAGATGCAGATGTGAGTTGATTAAATTCTAGCACATTTTACCAGCTATGGCAGTAGGATTAGCTTCTTCAGATGAGTAATGTCTGCTTAAGTTGTACCTTTCTTCCTGGATATTCTTCTCTTCCATAAGGTTTGTGAAATAAGTTAGAGGGAAACACTTAGTTATGGCTCCTATCGTCTGTTCCCTTAGTTCCACTTATGTGATCAGTCAGGTTAACTCTAGCTCCAAGGTTCACTTCCCCTACTCAAAAAGTGTGCTCTGACTTCCCTTGCAAAAGAATGCAAATCTTTGAGGAGAGATGGATACAGAGCAATTTTTTCAGCTATTCAGTTTTGCCCAATCAACACCCAGCATATTATCAACAGATCTAATAATGGGCACATGTAGAGTCTAACTACTGGAATAAGGTGTTTAGATCCCCTATAGCTAGAATAAGGTCCTTGCCTTGCTAGAAGCCTTTAATATTTAGAATTAAAATTTTAATTCTATAGATCATATCTGTTAGGAGAGAAACCTTATTTTTTTTAACCAGAACAGACTGGGTTTTTTTTTTTAAATTCCCATGTTCTTAATGTGACTTCAATTCCTAAATACATTTTCCCTTCACAGCATCAAGCATTTTGTACTAGAAACAGCTCTGGTAAAGAAATTTGGCCTTAATGACTATAAAGATTGTTCTGTGGAAACCAGGCAGGCTTTCTCAGAAATATCAGTTTGAAAGGCAGCCATAGTATTGGCATAGATCCTCAATACTGAACTCACGGTGCTGGTGGCTAATATTAGGGCCATTTTAGATTTGAATCAAAATAGGCAAGGCTTCTGTGGAAGCATACAGTGTGAGGGAGAACCAAAAGTTGAAAGGCAGAGAGCAAATAAAGAAAGGATGCCTTTCTCCTCTAATATCCCTTTCCTATCTTTTTTCCATGTCTTTTCCCAGAGCCCAGAAGTTAACATATTTCTCTAGAAAACCATGGATTAGCAGGTATAGAAAAATAAATTGTAGAATCAGAAGCATTTGCAATGTCAAGAGTATGAAAAATTAGGACCAAGAGGTCTAATGTTTAAAAAGTCAAGGAAATAGGAATATATATCAAAGGAGACTTTTCTTTCAATGGATGATACAAGCTTAATAATCTTCCAAAACATCCTCAAGGGGATAAAATATTGGGATTATGACAGTTTTATATAGGAACACATGGTATCACTAATAACCTCTTGGTGAAAGCCATCTATTTAATTTTATCTTCATAGATCATGAACTACAAAGGCCAAAATTTAAATGGAATTTAAATAAAGATTGAATTTGAAAATGTGCCCTATTCTTTGTTTCTCTATCTTTTCTATTGTTTTCTATCCCTAGACAGAACTATTTTCTTTGTGTGTATGTGTTTGTTCCTGTGTGTGTGTGTGTGTGTGTGTGTGTGTGTAGGCTTCATAGTTTAAGAAATGTCATGTTATGTGTAGATTTCAAAATATATTTGATGTTTGGAAACATTCGTATTGGTAAATGTTTCTGAATAAGTTATTTTGTATCTAGAATGTACATAACTATACTAATTACATTTTATTACAGAAATAGTTTCTATTTCATAAAATTTAGAGGATTGTCTTATTTACCCTTGTAAATTACTTCAAATAAGGTATATAGGAAGACATAGAATTGAATATCAATTTTTAGAGATACTAAGTATACTACACTAGTTAAGTGTAAGGTAGTCCAAATTGCGTCAATAGGAAAAGGAACCCAATTCCATAGAGGCAATTTCTTAACCTTTTGGCAAATAATAACCATAAAAAAAGGAGAAAGGAAACTTGAAGCAACCAAGATATCTTTCAGTAAGCAAATGGATAAACAAATAGTGGTATATCCAAACAATGAAATGCTATTCATAAATTAAAAAGGGATAAGCTATCAAAATATGTAACGATATGGGTGAATCCTAAATGTATATCTGTTAAGAAGAGAAAGAAGCCAACCTGAAAAGTCTAAAACATGTATGACTTCACTCTTATGATATTCTGGAAAAGGAAAAACTATACAGGGAGAAAACTAATCAGTGATAACCAAGGATTTGGGAGAATGAAGTGTTGAATTGGTGAAGCACACAGAATTTTTTAGGGTGGTGAAATCATTCTGTAATACTGTAATAGTGCATAATGACGCTACGCATGCCAAAACCCTTGGAACATCACAACAGCACAGACTGAAAAGTGTATGTGTCCACAAAATCATTCAGGACATTATCAGATCCTGGAATGGAAGGCAGAATGTGACAAAAGAATGCAATTCTATTACAAGCATACAAAAACCACACTGAAATAGATGAAAGGAAATGTTGTTGCCCTAAGTAACTTTGGAAATAGGTGGAGTCTGTAAGACAAAGGAAGTATAAGTGTTGTGTTCTAGTAGATAAAGTAATCTTTCATGGGGGTACAGGTTAAAAGTTCTGTAAATACTATATATGTGTACTAGAATTGTACAATAAAAGAAGTTGACGACAGATAGTGGGAACCAGATGTCTCACTGTTATAGTGAGAGGTAACAAAGAAGTAAGGATAAAAGGTTTGAATTATTTATGAGCTGAGTTTGGAAACATCACTATGAAGTCATGTTTAGCTTAATGTGGATGCTGGTATTGGGTTGGCCAAAACCCTGTTTAGTTTTTCTTCTTTAAAGTAAAAGACATATTTTTTCATTTTCTTTTTTAAATTGTTTTTCAAGTAGAATTGTCTCCATTTTCCACCTACCACTTCCCCTTGCCCCACCCATACCCACTTCCCACCTTCAGTCCTACCCCACTATGGCTTTGTCCTTGTGTCCTTTATATATATTCCTTGACGACCCTTCCCCTTTTGTTATTTTCCCCTTCTCATCTGGTTACTGTCAGTTTTTTCTTTATTTCAATGTCTCTGGTTGTATTTTGCTTGTTTGTTGTTTTGCTGATTAGGTTCCACTTATAAATTATATCATACGGTATTTCTATTTCACTGCCTGGTTTATTTCATCTAGCATGATGATCTCCAGATCCATCCATGCTCTCTTGAAGGGTAGGAGCTCCTTTTACCCTTATGTTGTGTGGTATTCCATCTTGTAAATGTACCACAGTTTTTTGATCCCCTCATACTGATGGACACTTACGTTGCTTCCGGCACTTGGCTGTTGTTAAGTTGGGCTGCTATGAACATTGGGGTGTGTAGGTTCTTTTGAATTGGTGTTTCAAGATTCTTAGGGTATAGTCCCAGCAGTGGAATTGCTGGGTCAAAAGGCAGTTCCATTTTTAGTTTTCTGAGGAAATTCCATACTTTTTCCCACAGTAGCTGCATGGGTCTGCATTCCCACCAACAGTGTACTGGGGTTCCCTTTTCTCCACATCCTCTCCAATACTTGTTGTTTGTTGATTTGTTTATGATGGCCATTCTGACTGGTGTAAAGTGGTATCTCATTGTGGTTTTAATTTTCATCTCTCTGATAGCCAGTGTTACTGAGCATTTTTTCACAAATATCTGAGCCTTCTGTATGTCCTCCTTGGAGAAGTGTCTGTTCAGGTTCTTTGTCCATTTTTTAATTGAGTTGTCCATCTTCCTGGAGTGGACCATGTGAGTTCTTTATATATTTTGGAAATCAAACCATTGTCCAAGGTACCATTTGCAAATACTTTCTCATACTGTTGGATCCCTTTTCATTTTGGTGATGTCTTCTTTAGCCATGCAGAAGGTTTTTATTTTTATGAGATCCCATTCATTTACTCTTTCTTTTATGTCCCTTGCTCTAGGAGATATATCAGTGAAAATATTGCTGTGAGGAATGTCTGATATTTTCCTGCCTATGTTCTCCTTTAGGACTTTTATGATTACTTATATTTAAGTCTTTTATCCACCTTTAGTTTATTTTTGTGTATGGTGTAAGTTGGTGGTCGAGTTTCATTTTTTGCATGTTGCTGTCCATATCTCCCAACACTTTTTTGAAGAGGCTACTTTTACTCCATTTTATGCTTCTTCTCCCTTTGTTGAATATTGGTTGACTATAGAGACTTGGATTCATTTCTGGGCTCTCTATTCTGTTCCATTGATCTATGTGCCTGTTCTTATGCCAGACCCAACTGTTTTCACCAATAAACTTATTAATTTTGATATTTTGAGTATTTTGGCTCAAAATATGAGCCAAAATACTGGTATAATAGAACACTAATTTTTCTCAATTAATGCCTTGTTTAGATCACTATCAACTTCAAGTGTCTACCTGACCATGGAGCATTGTCCAGTAAGAAATCTCCAGCACAAAACTGCAAACCACTTTTGACACATTCGATCAGTCATAGCACCTTTTCTATACACTGCACAAATCTTTTTTGCATTTCAGATCTATTTTTATCTTTCTTGAAATAATATAGCATAATATGCCTAAAATGTTGCATATATTCTTCCACCTTCAATATTATAATGAATACATAAAACACACCCATTTGACAATCTAAAGAAAGAGGTCAGTGCCCCTGACTAAATAGTCAGGTATTGAATGTTTTAAAACTTCTTGCATCTCACCAGCTGAAAATCACTGCCTTAGACCAATGGACTTCATTAAACAGAAAAATACTGATAAACAATTTCAAATTCATTATTCTATTTCAATATAATATCCTGTTAGTTTCCATATTTTAACTTTTAACTTAGTGATGTACCAGATATGTATATAATTTTCTATGTTGTTTAACCCAATATATCTAAAGTGTTATTATTTAAACACATAACCTATTAGAAAAATAAGATATTACACATTAATTTTTTACCTTAGGCCTTCAAAACTAGTCACATGTC